CTCCTCTCCTCTCCTCTCCAGCATTTAGATTCATGAGGCAATCATAAAGACACCTCTAGCCTTGAACAGTGAAAATTGGCTGATTAGCATAGAAAATATTATTTTCTCCCTTTATGATTTTACCCCTTTTACAGTGGACCTAAAAGGGGAAAATGCAATCTTACACAATCTCATTCTATCTGTATTTCTCAGATATGCTTTATCTGAGAAGTTGTTAAGAGAACAATTTCAAAGCAGTGGTACACAAACACCAAATTAGCCTTTTTTCCTCCTCTAACTGAATAACTGACAAATAAACCTAGTCAACCTGTTCTGTCTCACCTGTGACCATGAGGCGAGAGTCCAAGCCTCCAAAGGAATATAAATAAACAGACAGGACCAGGAACGATAGAGTTAAATTCCTTTGACTGGATAAGTCCTTGGCAGTCTTCCAGAAGCTGCCTGCCAAGTCCGATAACAAACAAGACCGTAAATCAAAAGGCAAACACCACACAGAGAATTTGTCAAGCTGCTATTCTGAATAAACAAATTGTCCCAAACGAGTATTCAGAGCTAACACGCCCTCTTTTATTTCCTGAGGGGCGTGTCAGTCTCTCAAGTCAGTTCCTGATTTGACATTTCCTTTTACATTGCATTTCCCTCTTCTGCCTGCGTCTTTGCCTTGCATCAAACCAGCATTCCTCGGCTTGATCCTCAGGACTCCGGCACGCTCTCCTGATTGTCTGCCGACACCTGAGGCACAACCAGGGAGGAAGGTCCTGGGGAGGGAGATGATTCCGAATCCTCCAGCAACGCAGGCTCAAACCTCAGAGCCAAGTCCTCCTCTTCCTCCTGGCTCAAGTCTGTGTCTTCCAGCAAGGCAGGCTCAAATCTCGATGCCAAATCCCTCTCTCCCTCATTACTTAAGTCTGTATCTTCTAACAAGGCAGGTTCAGATCTCCAAGTCACAACATCAACCTATGTAAATTACAAAGTTACAATAGTTTAATTTCTCCTAGAATCAAAAAATTATTGGCCAGTTAGTGTACCAGTTCCATTCTCAGGAAAGTTATGTCTGGGAATTTCCTGGTTTCCTTCAATTTTTGGATTAAAATCTTATCTGGATTTTTCTTACACTCTGACCTCTCTCTCTTTTTCATTTTAACGACTTTCAGGGAAAAGATATCTTGACACAGAAGCTCCCATTATGGCAACAATCTTGTTCGGATCCCAACAAGATCCCAGACCGTGCTCTCCAGGTTATGCAGCAGATGGCCCTCAGCAGCAATGGCTCAATTATGACTACACCTCTGTCAACATCCAAGTCAAATCTCATCATCTCGGACCCTATACCTGGTGCCAAACCTCTTCCAGTCCCTCCAGAGCTGGCACCATTTGTAGGAGTAAGTATAGGGTGGATTGATAAACTGGGGAGAGATGTCATAATTCATCTTTCAACAGAAAGGTGTAAGCTTGGTACTGGAGCGTGCAAGCTTTTCTAAGTCAAAGCTACGGTGGTCCTTTCACTGGCATGTTGGAAGTCACTTCTAAAATGTAAAGGGATTAGAATTAAAGTGGATTTAGGTTTTGATTTAGTTTAAACCAGTTAAAATGACTATTGTACTGTACATTTTAGAATCTCCATACTTTGGGTAAGTTATCTTATTTTGCTCAGATACAAAGCATGGATTGTTTCTGAATTAAGGTTGTGTCTTTGAAAGACAACTGTTGCAAGACAAACAGGTTCCACTGCACTTATTCTGAAGAATATTAACACGCCAGACAGTTCATTTCTTGGCAAAATATCATGTGCTGGTCATTACCACCAAAGCCTAACAAAGCTATTCCAGAAAAGACTCTTTTTTTTCTGTTTGAACCTCCCTGCTTACTGACATCATCTTGGCATTTTGGGTACAAGCCTTCTCTGTTGCTTCCCTAGTCATTGGAGTGTACTCCCTACAGAGTTAAGGAGGCTAACAGCATCATTAGATTTTAAAATGGCCCCTTTTGAAATAGCAGCCTGGCAACTCATAATTTCATAGCTCCTGCAACGTGTTGTACTTGATGCTGCCTTTCAAGACTACTGGGAAACTGCAGAAAGCAGCTGCCCACTTGCTGGCGGATGAGAGCCACTATAGCAGTGTCACACCAGTTCTGCAGGATTTGTGTTGGTGGCCATCAGGTTTCCAAGTATACTTCAGAGTCCTGGTATTAACCCAACTGATGATGGTATTTATATACATGGATTAGCTCCCAGTTACCTTCAGGACATAACTTTTGGAAAGAAAGAATTGGCCTACCCTGGGTGTTCAAGGTGAGAGGAATGCTTTAATTATTTTCCCTTCAAGAGAAAAGACAGGTGGAGACCCAAATAAGATGCTCTTATTGCTCTCCATTCACTATGGAACAGCTTTATCCCCTTGAGACCAAGATTGGCGCCACCTGGTCTAGTTTAGGAAGGTGGACATTGGATCCTAGCAATTTACAATTAGGATTGGGGGTTATTTTTAACAGGCGTTTTAACTGTTTTAATGCCTTAGTTTAAATTTTTAGGTGTAAACTGAATGCAGTATACTAAGCTACAATAAACAATTAGAATACTATTTAAAATGTATTGTCACAAGAAGCCTCTCAGACGTCCTTTTTTGTTCATTCTTGAAAAACAAGGCACCTGAACTGAAATCTGTTGATACGTTGCTGATAAACTTGCACAAGTCAGTAACTGACTGTGTTCCAAATTTACATGTCTTCAAAAGCTATTCAGTGGCGATAGGAAAATTGAGGGATTAGGAGAACTTATGCTTCCTCTTGCTGAAGTATTTGGGTTTCTCCTTAAACAATTCAGGGCTCTTTGGTTTTTCTTTTTGTTACCTTGCATTAATGATTTTCCCATTAATGATTAATAGGTTTTTCCAAAACCCATTTATTCAGTCCAGTTCTACAGCTGTAATATGATTACATCTGGGATAGGCTGGCCATGAACTATGTGAAGAAATGTTAAGTTAAACAGATTTGCAAACCTGAGCACTAAGAAGTTGAACTCACAGTACTCTGACAGGTATTATACAATGTGGCATATCTTGGTAAGACTGGTTTTATTTTGGCATGTCCTTCTGGGCAAAGTTGAATATCTTCAAGCTAGCTCAAGAGCCATGGTTCGAGGTCATGTTACAGGTAGTCCTCAACTTATGATCACAGTTGAGCCCAAAATATCTGTGGCTAAACAAGACAGTTGTTAAGTGAGTTTTGCACCACTTTACGACCTTTCTTTCCACAGTTGTTAAGCAAATCACTGTAATTGTTAAGTTAGTAGCACTGTTATTAAGTGAATCCGGCTTCCCCATTGACTTTACTTGTCAGATGGTCGCAAAAGGTGATCACATGATCCTGGGACATTACACTACAACCATTATAAATATGTGCCAGTTGCCAAGCATCCAAATATTGGTCATGTGACCACTGGGATATTACAGTCGTAAGCGTGACTATCAGTCACTTTTTTCAGTGCCATTGTAACTTCAAATGGACACTAAATGAATGGTTGTAAGTCGAAGACTACCTGTAGAGGTTTAAGCCATTTGATGGGACCACTTATTTCCTTAGTCTGCCAGTCAAAAGACACTGTGCTCCATCTTAATCAGTAATTGTTCTTTCCAGCTCTCTGCCAGGAAAAATAAAGAATTAAGGAGGAAGTGGTGGGAAAAACGAGAGGGCAGCATGATGTAGACTGCCTGTAATATTTTCTAAACAAGGCAGAATGGTTGTGCGAAACAAACACTTGTATCAAGAGCATCCTATCTCTGTTTCTCTCTCCCTCTCCCCACTCTTTCTCCAGCGAATGTCTGCACAAGAGACCATACCAGTAATGAATGGAGTCTCAGGATCGGAAGGTGAAGATTACAGCCATTGGTCTGACCGAAAGCCTCCTCAGCCTAAGTCCTTATCCCCACCACAACCTCAGAAGCAATTGAGTGACTCTTACTCCAATACTCTCCCTGTGCGCAAAAGTGTAATGCCGAAAAACAGCTATGCATCCAGTAAGTCATTCTTGTAAGAGATTATTCCTCTCTGCCCCTCCCTCCATTTTGGAGGACCACATATGTCAGATTATGGGTGAGATGGCCACTGAACTCCCAAAAAGCAATACAGTAGGAGAAAAGGCCTAAAACAATTTTCTCCAGACTTTCCACCTATGCAAAGACTAAGGGTCCCTAAATCCCCAGCCATCACTACAATCCCGAGAGATCTGGATTATCCCAGTTTGGGGAAAGCTGGCATAGAAGCACAAAAATAGCACCAATTTCTAAAGCATTTCTCACATTGAGTCTTTTAAAGGGTCCACCTAGACCCCCTGTCTTTCTGCTGGTAGAAACAAAAACAGGTATTGAGAAAGCACTGAAAATTTGGGGAGCTAAGACAGCTCAAAAATTGCATCAGGTTTGCTGACATGTAGGCAGGGCTTTGTCAGAAATTAGTTGGATGTGCTTGTTTCTTATTTGCAAGCCCTTACACAATAGAAGTAGATGAGTCAGATGTTTGCACATACCTGAAGAAGAAGCTTTTTTTTCCCTACAAAAGCTATGAACAACAAAGCTGTTTCTCCAAAGTGGTGCAGCAGGCTTGGTTCTTTTGCATCATACTAGAAACAGTGGTGAACAAAGCTTCCTTTAGACTGGCATCACTCTGCGATGTGACTAAGGTAAAGAGTGCCTTTGAGTCAGGCTCAGCTTCATGGACCCAGTTTGCAGCATTCCTGACAGCACCAGAGAAGTAGTTTTCCACTGCTACCTGCTGGGATGTTTCAACTTCCAGGCTAGTCAGTAGCACAAGCATTCCACGAAAGTCTCTCTTCCGAGGACTTCCCAGGCCTTTCCTGTTTAGCTTGGAACTCAGAGAAAGTCAGCCAGATGCTACCACCTCCTGAGATTATATGGGCCCTGATACTATTGCTGTATTGCTTGATTCCAGCAAGAAACAAAGTACTTATTGCATGGAACATGACGAGGTTACTGTACTGTGTTATTATTTATTTATTGAATTTATATAGCCACCCATATCATGCCTCTGACTCTGGTTGGCAAACACAGCCAAACAATCAGCATAATTCAAACATAACCATTAAAAGAACCATAATAACAAAAAGACAATTTTCATTGCTTCCTTTTATGCCATAATTATTATTGATAATAACTCTACATAATGCACACATATCTAGTACTAAGTAATGTTTGATTTTAGGAGTGGGTTGCTCAGTACATCATATCTGTGTGGGTGTTTTACCAGGAATTTCAGTCTTTTCTTTTGCTTTACAAATTCATTGACGTTTATGATCAAGAGATAAATGTTTTAGATGATGATGATGTTAGCTATCCTTTAGCCACAGTTGTGAAGTGAATCACCGCAGTTATTTGGTGAATCAGGTGGTCATTAAATGAATCCGGCTTCCCCCCACTGATTTTGTGTTTTGGAAGCTGTCTGGGAAATGGCAGTCCCATGACTCTGAGACAGTGCAACTGTCCTAAATATATGCTGATTGTCGGCACCTGAATTTTAAACACATGAATGTGGGAGTCATAACTGTGAGGACCCGTTGTAAGTCACAGTGCTGTTGCGATTTCAGACGGTTACTAAATGAATGGTTGCAAGTCAGAGACTACCTGTAAATCAGCAATCCGCAGTCTTTTATTAAAAAAAAAACATTTGGCAAACTTTCTCTGGTAACTGAAGTATTAGCACAGTCCTAAAATAACAGAAAAAAAGGTTTATTTATCGAAAAGAGTGGACTCCATCCAGTGGTGTATTAACCATTAAGCAAACTAAGCACATGCTTAGGGCTCCAGGCCCAAAGGGGGCACCACAAAGTTGAGAATATGGCTTCGTTTGTATAGTATGTACAAAGGGGGGGGGGAGCAACAAGTGTTGTCAGTTCTTAGGGCACCTTAATGAGCCTTAATCTGCCACTGACTTGTCTTTCAGCTGAAAACAAGACTCTTCCCCGTTCCAGCTCCATGGCAGCAGGACTAGAAAAAAATGGCCGAACAAGAGTGCGAGCCATCTTCTCTCACGCTGCTGGGGACAATAGCACCCTTCTGAGCTTCAAGGAGGGAGACCTTATTATGTTGCTAGTGCCTGAGGCCCGAGATGGCTGGCATTATGGAGAGAGTGAAAAGACCAAATTGTGAGTATGCTTGTCAGTGTGTGGGCCTCAGAATTTGTTTTTCTTTCCTTCTGGTGATATTAAGGTGTCTTCTTCGGGATTCAGTTGCTTTCTTATGTTATGAACTGTAATTTAAGTTTTAAACCTCTCAGAGCCCCGGAAGGGTGGTGCCAATTGCCTGTCTGAGCCATCTTCAGACAGTGGACACACAAAGCCATGCTGCATGCCTTTTGTCCCCAAGGTTCAGGGGTACAACCTGAATGTGCTGAGGTGGTGCTGTAGGTAGAGCAAAGCATGGGCTGTCTCATGTGTGATCCTTTTTGTCATTTTGGTCTCTTCCCCAGTGTGGCATTGCTGCAGAAATTGCAATGAGAGTTCTAGTATTTTGCATCTGTATTAAAAAGTCAGTGCAAAATCAAAGAAAGCGAGGAGAGAAACACCACAAGTTTTACATTAGGGAACTCTGATGAACTTTGAGCCTAAGACAAATTATTATTCTTTATGCTTAAAACATAGCGTGACTTTCCAATGAACTTTTTTCCTTACCCTGATTTGGAAATCTTTGCTCTGGTAGCCAAAACCGAAGTTGATGTGCCAAGAAGTGGAATGTATAATAAACAGTTCTGCCCTCAACAACACAGCTCCCACGCTGGGGAATGCCAGAAAAAAAAATGAAGAAGGAGGGCAGAAATTGTAGGCTTTTAATTCCTGGAGAGTCTGTAGCGTAACTAGGAATAAAAGCTGTCGCTGGGGTGGACCGCTCCAGCAGGTTTGCTTTGGCATAATGGGTTTGTTTAAGATTAGGACAAAAAAAGTCTTCCTTGGCAACAATTGTGTAGGTAAGCTCCTTCATAGATACTGTATATTTATTTATTTATTTATTTATATTTATTTATTTTTTTCTTCTCTCCTTCGCCACATTTCAGTATTTAAAGCTCTAAACCTGGAGGTGCGGTCTTTTTTCCATTGTTCACTAAATATAGCCATACTTTTATTCCTTTGTCCATGCAATTTGTGACTGGCTTAACAACAAATGCCAGTTGCCAAGCAAATGGCTGGCTTAATTAGCAGAACCAAATTAGGAAGCCTTAGAACTGGAGGGTAGTCGTGAGGGTGGAAGTCTGCTGATCTGGTCATTCCTTTTTTTAGCCCAAGTGCCCAACATCCATGGGGTGAGCCGGAAAGCCGGCAGGGTGTGAAAGTAGGTGGCTGGTAAGATTGTGCACAATAAATTTGGACAGCAGGAAAACCTTGCTTCACAAAGTAAAAGCACAGATGGCAATTAGATGCCTGTGGCCATTTGGGGGAAAATGACACATATATTAGCAGCTTTCCTTTAAAAGATCCAGGATGAAATCATTCTAGATACAGGTAGTCCTCAACATACGACCTCCATTGAGCCCAACACTTCTGTGGCTAAGCAAGACAGTTGTTAAGGGAGTTTTGCCCATTTGTACGACCTTTCTTGCCACAGTTGTTAAGTGAATCACGATTAAGTTACTCGCACGCTCGTAAAGTGAATCTGGCTTCCTCATTGACTTTGCTTGTCAGAAGGTCGCAAAAGGGGATCACATGATCCCAGGACACTGCAACCGTCATAAACATGAGTCAGTTGCCAAAGCGTCTGAATTTTGATCACGTGACCATGGGGAATGCTGCAATGGTCGTAAATGTGAAAAACTGTCACAAGTCACTTTTTTCAGTGCCGCTGTAAATTTGAACAGTCGCTAAGCGAACTGTTGCAAGTCAAGGACTACCTGTACTCAAATGCTACCTTCTGTTATAATGTCCCCTTCTTACTGTAACACACATACTGAATATGCCTCCAGCCCTTTTTAGCATTGTCACGCTGTTGCACATTCCCAAAGCCACTCTGCTGAAGTTCACTGGCAAATCACCAGCCTTCAGTAATGTGACATTTTAAAACAGTTTTTAAAACAATTTATAGGTGAAGAATACATTCAGTTCCCTATAAATCTCTCTGAAGACGCTTCTACATCGCTAATGCTTTCACTCCCCAAATACTCAGTTGTGATCATACTTCTTGGCTGCCATGAAGCTTGCTGGCACCTCTGCCCAGCTGGCCAGTGGGAGGGGAGTTCAAAAATGGGTGTTCATCTGGTGTCTTAATTCCCCCCCACACACACCCCAGCCTCCCGCCTTGCCTTTGCTTCCCTGCATTTGTTGTCTGGCAAGGTTACTGCACTGAAGCAGCAAAGCTGTCATGTTGGCAGAGTGGGGAAGGATAGCAAGGTGCAGTGGCTCCCTGCCTTTGGGAAAATTGGGAGGAATCCAAGAAACCGGAAGGCAAGATGAGGCAAGAATTCCCACATGAAAAATGAGGGTGAATATACGTGTCCCAGGATAATGCTGCAGGATCCGATCTGGGTCAGTCACCGGGACTTAGAGGTTTTGTCTTCCAAGCTTTCGGATCCATGCTGGAGCCCTTCTTCAGGGAATTTCTCTCTAGCCTAGGCAGAGAAATTCCTTGAAATGGGCTCCACTGCAAGTCCAAAAACTTGGAAGATAAAACCTCTGGTCCTGGTGACCGACCCAAATTGGATCCTGCAAGAATTCCCACCATTGGGAAGTGACTATCTTCTGAAAGAGCAGCTGCTCTGGGAGTAAATTGCTCACCTGCCAAAGACCTTCAGCGACCAAGAAAGTCAAGGGCACAGAGAGACACAGCACTGGTGCAATTCATGCATATGGAAGGGGTTCATATTTCTAAAAAACTGTCCACAGTTCCCTACTTTTTGAAAGAAGTGGCCAAACAATTCATCCCCAGGCCTCCCTCACATCATCACCATTCTTCCTGAAGCTGCTGGAAATAAAAAATAATTACAGGAAGAAACAATGACCCTCAACCATACTACTGCCTCGTAAACTGTGTCATGTCATAGAATGGAGAGAAAATAACCTAGTAAGCATTTTGAGGTGACAATTTCTTTATTGGTTTTTTTTAAACCTTTCAACTGGAAGATTTATTCAAGACTAGGATTAAAAATTAAGAGGCATTCTAGATTCTTCCCATGGAAAATGGAATGCATGGGTTAGGGTTAGGGTTAGTTTATTCCTTCTTCAGTATCCCCTTCACTGAATGGGAAAAAAACATGGACCTTTTTCTCTTTTTTTTCTACTTGTGTTGTAGGAGAGGCTGGTTTCCTTTCTCCTACACACGTGTGTTGGACAGTGATGGGACCGATAGATTACATATGAGGTAAGAAAGTTCTTTTCATGGATGCAGTGCAATCATCTGACATTTGAATAATGTTTATACTCAAACAGACAAGCCCTGTGTTTATTTAGCCAGAAGCAGGATCTGTCCTGCATTGCCCTCTTCTGGCTTATCTTTCATTAGGAATTTTATTAGACTGGCTTCATATTTTTCAAGCTAAGATTTCAGGCTTTGCTGTAAAAATACATGGTGTCTCTTTTCGTGGGTGTATACATTTGCCCATGTATTTGTACACAAAGAGATACATGTATGTGTGTACGCATGCATGTATGATCTGGAGCAAGCCAGCGTGAATATATTTGGTGAAAAAAGTCCGATGAGACACTGTTTCATATGGTAAACATAATGAACACATATGGCCCCGAATGGAAAGGCTTCCAAGCCTTGGTGGTGACAGGAGGAGGAGGATGTTTCCTTAGTGATTCTGAGCAGGTTCCCATAGGGAAAGACGTGTGGGAGGAAAAAAATCTGAAGAATCCTAATTTTGTCTGCATGCAAGGAATGAGGCAAGCCTTAATGGCTTATAAAGTGAACCCTGTTTGCAAAATTCTGCCACAGAGGAGATGCTGACTTAAATGTGCTTATGTCTTCAGCCAGGGGAAAAGCAGTAGTACAGGTAACCTGTTGGACAAAGATGATATCCCCCCTCCCGACTACAGCATGTCCTCCCGAACTTTCCAGGCACCGAATGTCAGCACTTTCAAACAGAGGCCGTACAGCGTGGCGGTGCCAGCATTCCCCCAGGTGAGAGACACCTTTTCAACTCAGAGGAGAAGGAGACATAACCAATATGAGTGAATACATCAATCAGGAGGGACCCTGCCAGTGGTAGATTCTAAGGCTCCGTCAGTGGAGAGGGAAGGTGGATTTTCAGAGAACCAGCATTCTGCAGGTGTCAGTGGTACCTGTCTTGTACTTCTGGTTGGGTATGGTTTAATCTTTAGTTTTACTAAAAGTTTGAAGTGGTCATTGACCATCAAAAATGGCTTAAATCAAATGGATTGTATGGGTTGGTGAGAATGAAATGGGCTTCAGATCATTTAAATATAGCGGCTCTGATAATGAAGAGTAAAGGAGGAAATTGGCCCTGCAACTTTTTCTACAGCTAGTACAACGAAATGAAAGGGTTCTAGCTGAGTCACGCTTTATTTTAACTGTGATTTGGATAACAAGCCATAGAAGTCTGGTTCACAGACTACTAAGCCATAAACGTGGCTCAGCACAATATCTGAGAGAAGCTAGTCCATGTGAATTGTGGTTTGAATGGAACAAACTTGAGGTTAGCCCACTGATGGACTACCGGCTCTTGTTTTCAACTAAGCCAACTTGCAATATCCATCTGAACTCATTATTTTTCTCTATAGGATAGGGAAGCCTTGTGATGAGATGCTTGATTCTGTGAAATGTTATTTGGGCTACGAGCAAAAGTTTTCCAAGCCTACCTACTCACTTATATTAGAGATTATTTCCATTTGAATTGGTCGGATCCTTGTTGTGCTATTTCTTAATAATGCTATTGGTATAAGCCTAATAAATCTTTCTAATGCCTCCCTTTATTGTTTGGAAAATTCTTCTGCAATGTTGAGAGCTAGGTCGGGAAGTGAGTAAGCCGCTTCCTTTGATGCAGCAGTTATTCTGCCTTCTTTGTGCTAAATCTGCAAAGTTATCTTCCATATGCAAATCAACAATCAAATGTTGCCATTGTGTTTTGAAGCTGATCACCAGAAGGAAACTTGGACCAAAAATCAAAGATGCTGTGTGTACATTGTTGGTAGGTAGGAGGTTGCCTTGCTAAAAGTAGCTCTGGTTGCTCCATTGCTGAAGTGAACCTTCCTAAAAATTCCTGTTTCGTAACCCAGGTATTCGTACAAGCAGGTGAGGCTCATCTTGCCAACAGTTGCTTGTATTTATTATTTATAGGAGTACCTTATGCCCTACGGTTGTGCAATTAATGAATATTCCCGTGGCCTCTTCCCAGTGTCACCCGCCTCCTACCAGCCTTATTCTAGGTCAACAGCCGTAAGTCCCAAGAACACAATGTTTCCATTGGGGTTTCAAAAGCCTCTTTTCTGCCTCAAGCATCTTTGTGGCTTACCTAATACGTGTATCCTGGCTCCCCATCTTCCTCAATCTCAAGAAGCTGGTGAGATGAAAGGCTTCTTTTAAAAAATGCAAACAGCTGTCAAAAAAGCAAGCATGGGGAGAGGTAAAAAATTAATTGATTGGCAAATTAGTGACGGGTAAGGCAGAAAGACTGGCAGGAAAGGGCAATGTAAATACCCAACTGGTAACATATGGCTGTTCTACATGTATCTAGCTGCAGAATTCAATGGCTCTTAGGCCAACAATGCTTATTTTTCCCCCATCTCCTCTCCCTTGGACCTTCCACACAGTGTCTCTGGAGGTTTGAGAAGATTAACACCAGCTAATGGGTGGATGGAGACAATAAGCTGAGGCACACGGAAACAGAGTGTGCACATTAGTAGGCAAAGGAGGATGGGTGGGTGGGAGGTAACTCATTTTGAATTTAATTTTGTTGGAAAACCGCATTAAAATGTTTATCTCCTATCAAGGGTAGCAAACTGAGAAGAATGGTATCAGTCCAAGAATACTTAGCATTAGAATGAAGGCACTATTTTTGGCTGTAAAGAGGTTATGCTACCAGAGACATTCTAAGCACAAGAGTCCATCCTTTTCTCAGGGTCTTTAGAATTCAATATCTTTGTCAGAGTGTGCTGTGAAGAGATAAGTTGCAAAATAATAGTGGCTTTGGCTAGAAAGATGTTGGATTTCTTTAATGGCAACTTTGATGCTCAAGTTGGGGATTTTCATTCAGAAGCCACTTTTTCTCTGGCTAGACACATGTCAGAGCCAAGGATCACAGCAAAAGAAGAACGTGACTTATCCTTAATACACACCCATATCAATTAAGAGGTTAGCATGGTACTGTTTGAATATATTTTGAGTTTCGCCCTTCCATTTCAACTGCAGGCTACCTGACCAGCTGACATCTGATCTAACATTTTATATTTTTGTCTAGAATATTTATTGCTGTAATCGGGTGAAAACTGATTACAAGTACTGTAGTTGAGTCAAATAGCTTCATAGGTCTGAACAGGACTAAGGGTATATTAATTCAGGCTGAAGGAAAATCCCTAAAACTATCCAAGATTATGATTCCTTTTACATCAAGAATCGGAACTGGTGGCACTTCTGATATTGCTTGATCTTCAGTTCCCCAATATTGTCATCATTGGATGACAGGGTGATTGATACAAGTTGTAGGTCAGCCATGTTCAAAAGCTCACCGTTTAGTATGGGTAGTCCTCGACTTACAACCATTTATTTAGTGACCAAAGTTACAATGGCACTGAAAAAAAGTGTCTTATGACCAGTTTTCCATATCACAGGCTTCCCCATGGTCACATGATTAAAACTTTGGCAGCTGGCATGTATTCATGACCATCGCAGTGTCCTGAGGTCATTTGATCATCTTTTGTGACAAGCAAAATCCATGGGGAAGCCAGGTTCACTTAACAACCGTGTTACTAACTCAACAACCGCAGCGATTCATTTAACCGCTGTGGCAAGAAAGGTCTTAACATGGGGCAAAACTCACTTAGCAACTGTCTTGCTTAGCAGCAGAAATTTTGGGCTCTGTTGTGGTCATAAGTCAAGGACTACCTATAATCTCTTCATACAACATAGGTGGACCTAAATATGTTTCACGCCATCTACAATAGATTAGACTTCACCCCAAAAAAGGGAAAAATAAGCACTTTTATTATTTCCCCCCCCCTTCTCTTCCCTGGATGCATCAGAGAGCAGCAATGAAAGTAGCAGGCTGCCATATCACTGTGCATGGCTGCTTTGACTTCATCTGTGCTGCCTCTCTCTGAAGAGAAGACGACGTGCAAAAGAGATGGAGGGGCCTTCCTCCATCAGGAACTGAAAGGCTATCAAGCTGCATTCCCCACGGCGTGTTTTTTGCAGCCTGCATAGCATTTTGCACCGCCCCCTTTTAGCACTCCCTGCACTGCATGTCTTTACGTTGGAGACTATTTTTAATCTCGCCGATCGGCTACACAAGATCACCCTCTGGTGAACAAATGTAATTTTGGGGAGGGCGGGGTGTCAATGTCTTTTGTCCTAGTTTTGAGACCAAGTACACTTTGACTATGCCTTGGGGGGAGGCTGTTGGGACAAGGCAGGTGCATACCTTCCATTGCTATCTTTGTGGCAAATGCATTATGATTCCATAGCTGATACCCTCCCCCACTTATTTTTTTTTTTTCTACAGGGACTGGATGACTATGGGGCAAGACCCTCAAGCAGGTAAGTTATTTCGTTTTCAAATCCATTATGGATCTACAAAGTTCATTTCAATATGAGAAGCTAAGGTTTGGACAAAATTATAAAAGTGACGTCAAATGCAATTTCTGGTGTTTTCACTGACACCCCTATATAGCATCTTGAAAATTATACAGAAGTTGAATTTTTTAAAAGATCTCCTTAGTCTATCCTGCAACGCTGTAATTTTTCCCATTAAAGTCCAACCTCCCAGGTCCAATCTTGGCTTAGCTTTCTTAGATTGGCCACACAGCCCGGCAGAAGCTTGAAATGAAAGAAATTCCCACAGAACCACATGTTTTTAAAGTATGCAGGAACTGTTTTATCCCTGGGTTTTTGTTTTTTGTTTTTGTTTTTTTTTGAGCAAGGCATGGCATAATTGCTTGTATTTTGATTTGGTCTGGCCCTTCACAAAAAGGATATATATTACACTGAGGACCTTCACCTTTATTATTATTATTTTTTCCTTGAATTGAAATGCTTCTCATACATATATAGCCCACATTATTTACCCTTTCAAGGTAGCCAGTAAAATGCAGAAAATGTTTATGCACCTTGCTCAGACTCATTTGAGTGAGCTGTATAAAAATGCTGCAAATAAATAACACAGAATATCTCATTATACTTTTCTATCTTTGTGGCTGACTTCTGCTATATACATTCACCTCTTTTTTGAAGATCCTTGTCAAATGCACTCAACCACAACTTCCTTGGTGTTCTTCCTCTTAACCACTCACTCTTCCTTTGTTTTATAAATTTTGTTCTTTATTTCAAAGTTCACATTTATGTTCATACATTCTTGATCCTATCTCTTTTTGTTTTTCTAAAATAACTACATCCATTTCATTCAACTGACTTTTATGTTTTTCCTGACATTCCCAACTCTTTCTTCCATATAACTAAATAGGGGAAAGAACATCATATAAACATTTGACATTCATTTGTCAAGACAGATTAAGTATTACCCATTAATTTTCTTATGTTTGCACAACTGAAAATTTCCTCATCCATTTCCTCATCTTTAATAAACATTCTGCCAAGAGGCACAAATTCATCTACTTTTCCTGGTGTGTGTGTGTGTGTGTGTGTGTGTGTGTGTGTGTGTGTGTGTGTTGTTATTTATGAATAAATTGAATTCATTCACTCCATCTTCCATGACAAACAAAATTACATTGATCTTTGATAAACTAATTATTGAGGGGTCCTTGCTGTTCTCTGAGCTTGGTTGTTCCCTTCCAGATGTTTCATTACCTGAACTGGGGAACATCATCAGTGCTAGTGATGATGTTACCCAGACTACCAGTAATGATGATATTACCTAGTTTGGGTAATGAAACTACTTCCAGAAAACAACCAAGCTCAGAGAGCACCAAAAGACCCTGCATTTCAATCATGAACTACACATATTTTTCTTTATTGATACTTGTATGTAGGCATCATATAACATGTTTCAATTCACTAGCATATCATTTGGCTCCTTAGCCAACAGCACAGCCACGTCTGGAAACCTAGTATGTGCCCACATCATCTAATGTCACCATAAGCATCTATCTTTCTCATTGTCATGAACTGGGCAAAACGGTGCAGTCATAGAGCAACAGTTATTGAGCCCAGGCACCTCAAATGGGCTCCGGTATAAGAATGCCAGGACTAGTTACTCCCTTGGGAATAAAATTTGGGAAAGGTGTAGTCATTTCAGTGTAGTTGTGCTGCTGAAGCTTTAGCACCACTCCACTGCCACACTCAGCTGCAGTCACATGATCCTCATTTCCAACACTCCCTGACAGCTTCTGACAAGTCAGTGGAAAGGCCAGCAGGAAAGGTTGCAAGTTGCTCAGTTTTAAGTCTCCCCCACATATATAACCTTCCCAGCCCCTCTGTGTTTGTGCCACTGTGACCATCTGCACATCCTCACACTCCCTTTTGGACTTGTGCTGTATCCAGTCCACATGACACCTCTTGCTCACCTCCGTGTTCCCTTCCCAGTATGCGCCACACCCCTGCGTACCCAACCCATGCACCTCCTGCACAATCCCACATGCCCTCCCTAAGCCACACCACTCCTCCTCCACACTCCTGTATTCCCTCTCCTACCTGGGCAGCAGCCGCTTACCTGCCTGCTGACCCTGGACTTGCACGTCCCTGCCAGTTTGCCCACTGACTTTCTCCCTGGAAGCTTCCCATAAGCAAAGCAAATGAGGAACCTGGCAGGAATTCTAGGAAGAAACAAGGGAGGGAAGGAGGAGGAAGGGAAGGAAGGAAGATAAAAGAAATTGTTTTTTTGCCCACCCACAGTTATTCTGTTTAGGTAAGGAAATATCTCTGAAACGATGACCCAGTGGATGATAGATTGTCTAGTTCCTTATATATTTATTCATAAATACATTAAACAACACAGTATACATCCACGTCTTACTCCCTACTAAATGTCGAACTATTCATTAATTACTTTATTTACACTACTGGAGGCTCCTTTTCACCCATTTCCAAAACACTTTTGATTCCCATCAAAATTGCTTTGTCTTTTCTCTGTTAATTTTTTTCCTTGCTCTCTTCTTTGTAATCATCCTTTTTTCCTCTGTACATTGTACGATATCAGTTTCTCTACGCTTTTTGCAGTGGTCATTCTTGTTTGCATTTTTTTTCTCATGTCCAGACTTCTTGCACGTCATCATTCTACAAAGTATCCTTTTTCATTCTTCCTGTTAAGTCAGACTAGAAAGGAAGATGAGCTTTATTGAATGCTACTGTGTTAATTACCACAGAGTTTCCCTCGCTGTGTGCAGTGATAGGAAAATATGACTGTTCGTTATGTTGCATTGTAACTCATGCAGGGCCATAGGCATGCTCAAAAAACACAGTTGGAGGATTGAATTAACTGAACATGCACCACACAAACATGTCTCAATTTTCTGTAGTGCATTCGTGAGTCATTTGTTCAGTGGGACACAACTTCAGTTTTAAATGCAATATTCCCAGTTAAACTGACTTTTTTTTTGAAGCAGGAAGTAGATTCCACATTTTGCTCTTCTTGCATCTTTAGTTGCATATTTGTTAAACTACCTTTTTTTTTCCCCCTGTGGCCTTCAAACTGAGACACACTGATGGAAATGCCCCGTACAAAACCAGGAATGAATGCAAAACCCACATCCAAGCAATTAGAAACAATAAAGATGTCATAGAGCAGCAACCTAATCTCTTCCTTTTGTTTTCTGAGTATGGCAACCTCTTCTAATCTAGTGGGTTCTTCTACTAGATGGAGCCCAAGAGAAGCTGCTCTTTCTGAGCAGTAATGAAGCTGTGAATAGTCTACTCATTTGCGTCCTGCCCTTGCTCCCTAATTCCAGTATCAATGCATTGCCACTTATTACTTGGTGCTCTTCCATCTATTCTTGGTTATTATTTCTCTGTCTCTGTCTCTCTTTCTGGTGAAGTGAGTTTGGGCCGAATTGTATGCTTTTTCTTTCTGTTCCACAGCGGCAGTGGCACGTTGGTATCTACAGTGTGAGAGAAGGAATCTTGACTAGAAATGACAGCTGCTGCTTGGAAGACTTCCTTCTTTTGCTTCTCTGTCCCCTTCATTTCCTTCTTTCTACTGAGATGCACATTTTTCCTCCTACTTGTCCTCTTTTCAAAGCAACTGTGCCATCAGCTCCTTCTCTCATCCCTGTGGACCCCAAGGACCATTCTTTGAGGAACTCTTGGAGCTGCTACTTTCCCATCCCCTGGTATTTCCAACCACCCATTTCGAAGCGGGAAAATGTCCAGAGAAGGAACGTTAGTTTTCACAGATGCTACTGGGTGCAATTGAGATAAACTAAACTAGATAAAGATGCTGCATCTCTCTCTCTCCCTCCCTCCCTCATTCTCTCCCCCTCCCTCTCCTCTCTCTCTCTCTTTTATAAATTATTTTACTTTTCTTATTGCATTCTCTCTTTTCAGAGATGTTAATGCAAGCTGCACATTTATAACAAAATAAGTGCAAGATTCCTACCCTCTTTTTTTTAAAAAAAAACAACAATCTGGAAAACAAAATATGCATGGCATATGGTGTACGTACTGTTACTTCAACTATCCTTTTTTGCAACTTTATCACAAAATCAGTTCTCTGTGTCAAAAGAAAAGGGATGCTCGGGTATTACTGTGTTGGTTTTGGCAAGAATTGGACTGTTAAACTGAGCACCAACCCAGTCTCCATTTTGTAAAGTATTTTGTTTTATATATATGACAGACACAAGCATATTATATTATTATTCTATTCTATTATGATATATATTTTGTAGGAAGGTATTGTTACCTCACAGTTATGCTGAAAAGAGCAGTGGAGTAAAAGGGAGTGGAAGGGCTTCTTCTGTTGTATTATGCAGATTGCCAGATCAATCCAAAGACATTCTCTTTATAAAACTGGAAAGTTTTTTTTGTCTTCTTGGTAGAGAAGGAGGGCCAAACTGCCTGTGTTTTGAAATTCCAGTTCTGAACAAGGAGATTTCTTTTTCTTTTGCTGAAATTTCAACCACTTTTCTTTCTTTTAAAAAAAGCCTTCAGTCTTAACTAATTTCAGGAGCAAACAAAGTAGGAAACTAATGGCTACTGATTGGGACTGCTTCTTCCGTTATCAAATTCCAGGAGGTCGGACCTATGCCGAAGACTGAAGGCTTTCAGCTTTGAGTTTCCCAACCTTGGAAACTTTAAGATGTGTGAACTTCAACTCCCAGAATTCTCCAGCCAGCAGCAGCTAGGGAATTCTGGGAGTTGAAGTCCACAGGACTTAAAGTGACCAAAGTTGGGAAACCATGGGTTACAGTTTACAGTGTGAAACTATATTCCTATTATGATCCAAGGGTGACTGCAGGATATGGTCCAAAAAAGTCAAGATGGTGACCCACAATGGTGCAATCAAGACTCCACCTGTGTTTTATATAATGCACATTTAAAAAGAGGTCAGGCTTTGACTATATTGTCTTAACTACCATATTGACTTTTTT